CCCCCTATCAGTTCTTTCCAAAACAGCCAAATCTTGGAGGCTTTTCTAAATGCCAGCCGGCTGGTATTGATCTAATGTGGTGGTGGGCTGTTCCAGAGGAGAGGGAAAGGCCAGCTTTTGTAGTCTCTGGGGTGACAATCCCTCAAGGAGGAGGCGCAAAGAGGGGCCTTCCTAGTAGATCCTCCTGGGTGGGCAGCAGATTCAGCTGGTCCTGAAGATATCCAGCCCCTGAGCCCTTTAAAGATGACCACAAGCACGTTGAATTGCACCCAGTGCAGATTTCTTAGAGGTGCTATAGAGGCAGATTGTGCCATTTCTGTCACTGCTCCAGCTGCTGCATTCTGGACCAGCTGTAGCTTCAGGTCAGCCCCACGCAGAGCCCAAAGGAAGAGTCCAACCAAGAGGAGGTCAAGGCCTGAGTGACTGCGAGCAGGGCCTCCAGATCCAAGAACGGTTGCAATGGGTGCCCAAGCTGGAATGGCGCAAAGGCCCTCCTAATCACTGTGGCCACCTTCTCAAGCAGCAGCTGTGAATCCAGGAGGTCCCTCGAGTTATGAACCTGTTCAGTCGGGGGGAGTGCAACCTTATCCCAAACCAGAGGTGGAATGTCACTGGTCTCAGTTGGTCTTGAACCCTGAGCTGCTCCAACTGGCTGGGATTCTCTTCCTTCTGAATCTCTTCCTTCTCATCCACACCTTCATAGCTTAAAAATAAATTCGGCGGTTGAGTCCTCTGTTTTCTGGACGGGCATCATTGTTCAAGGCTAATGCGTTTGTTGACCTGACCCAAGTTATGCAATCCTTCTGCTCTCATCAGTGCTTGGCGAGGACTGGAATCAGGCCCAGAGGTCCTTTTCTGACCTCCCACTCCCACCCCACCCCAAAAAAGGCCCACTTCTGATTTTCTGAGCTGAAAAACTCTGGAAATCGGAGTAACTAGTCTGCTCCGTTAGGTAACCCTTCTGGAATTAATGTCAAGCAAGAATCGTTGGATGTAGCATTACCCAGTTTAGTCTGTGAGTCAGCATACGTGAAATTCTTATTTCTAGCAGCTGAACTGGATTTGACCTGCTTTCCATGTTGGGATCCTTACCAAGATTCCATTAGGCAGGAAAGGGATAAGATAGAAATAAATGCACACTGCTTACAGATCTCCCTTTTGTTTTGCAAGGTTTGTTAGAGCAGGCAGGAATACCTTCTGCACAGAACTGGGGGTCCTGCACAGCGTGGCTTATGACGATGCAGTTCTTTAACCAGAAAATATGTTTTCAAAGTCTTGGGCTTCCAATATTGCTGTAACAATTTGGAGCAAGCCACATCTTCTTTGAGGCTGTAGATGAAAAGCCAGAGAAACGACTAAATAGCACTTGAATCCATGGGTTCCTTTGTGAAACCTCTGTGGCCAACTAAGAAAAATCTAGTTTTTATGTAAGGAAGAAGTTTTGAACTTGCTTGTCTAAACAACAGAGTCCAGGGGGGCATTTTGAATCTGGATCTGGAATTATTGACTGAATTCTGCCTACGGTTGTTTAAAAAAGGAAATGGGTAGAGAGGAACACCAGGGGACGTTTCCAGCATTTTAATTAAGTGTTTCAAATTCACTGCCTTGTATTGATGTTAATCCAAGGCTGAGTGGTTTTAAACAGCAGCAGCCAAAGGATTTACAAATGCTGAAAATTGCCTGTATCTGAGCAACGGATTTAAATTCAGGGTTTTTGAGAACAGGAGGTAATGTTCCAGCATGAAAGCTGGAATTGCCTGCCCTCTAAACTCTGGATGGAATTCTAGCAATGTGGAATCATAAAAACAATGTTAAAAACACCAGAAGCTCCTCTTGGAAAGCTGGATTTGACATTCCTTTTCATGGCCTGGTCTTGGAGACTCTTGACCAACCAGTTCAAGGATCTCCATTTGCTCATTTGTGCTCCGTATTTATTTTTGTTGCACTTTCTTCCAAGAATCCTGGGGGTGGTTGTTTGAGTGAAGAAGACAGATGCTCCTGCTGTGCTGAATATTTTACTTCCATTTGTTCTGTTCATTCTCATTCAGCTTGATGGAGAGTTAGTTTTGAAAACAGATTTCCAATGAGAAGAGAAGGTCAGAAACATCAAATTAGGGGTGTATGATATTCCTGCACTTGGTGGCCAAGGAGCTTCTGAGAAGCTTCTGTCAAGGGGGGGTCTTTTCTGCAGCCATCGGCAGACTCCTGGTTTCCCACCTTCCCATTCAATCCCAAGGGAAGACCTCAGCGTGGAAGTCCTTTGAGGAAGTTCTTCAAATGGAGAAGAGAGACTTCAAAGTAATAGAAAGGAATGTGCCACTTCCAGCAGGAAAGCCAGCTCAAAAATCCCTCCAAGAGAGACAATCAATTTTTTCCCCGAACAACTGAAAACATAGTTGAAAACTAGGAGACTGTTTGGGTTTTTTCTCCCTTTGTTTTTTGCAAGGGAAGAATTGGAGGACAGATTGAATGCTCAACCAGGTATTATGATAGGCGTTGTAGGAGAAGGGCCGTGTGGTCTATGGTAGCAAAAAATCAGAGGGAGCCTGGTAGCCCCTTTTCTGACTCAAAATGTTAGTCAAAGGCCCACATTTTCATGAGTGTCAGCCCACTAAGTACACCAGACCAGAAAATCGACTCCACTGGAAGACTACAACTACTTTTATTGAGATTGTCTAGAACCATGTTTCTCAACCTTGAGAACTTTAAGAGGGGTGGACTT